CCCCCTGTGGGTATTGAACTAGGGACATGCATTTGGAGACCAGGGAGCACTACCCACTGTGCTATTGACCCACTGGTTTAATTTAATAACTTTTATTAAAAATCTTTACTTAATATTTATTATTATTTTTGAAAATTACTAAAACTAATCAATACTTTATTAATCAATACTTTACCAATCAATACTTTACTAAAAATTTCAGTTTGATATTTAAACTTAAAAATTAATACTAATATTAAAATCAAAAAATCAATAATAATATTTACTAGTACCAATTGGAACCCTAATAATTATAATATAATATTGTATATATTAAATAATTAATTATAATAAACAAAAAATATAATAATTGTTTTTTTTTTTAAATAAATAAATAAATATATATTATATATACAATATAAATTATTTGCTATTAACTTACTTTTTCAAAATTCTTAAAATAATTGTGATATAACTTGATTATTTATACAGTACATTTTAATAAGTACTTAATTAATTGTATCAAATAATTGTATTAATTTTGTTAATAAACTACAGATTTTAATAACATGTATAATATATATATTAATAAAATCAATAAAATAGTATTTTTATATTTTTAAACTATAATTTTATTAAAAATTGTTTAACTTTTTTAATAAGCAATTATATTATTAATTTCCATATCATTTAATAAAATTATATAAAAAAAAAAAATTATTTCTTTACATTTTTAAATAAAAACAAAATTATATATTGTATTTAAAAGAAATATTCAAAATAAAAAAAGAAATAGTAACTAACTTGAGAAAACTTGTTTATTATACACGATATAATTTAAGTACAGTATATTGTATTAAAAAGGTTGATATGTTTATTAACAATTTTATTTAATTTAATATCAAATAGATATGCATATAAGTAATTATACATTAAACATAATTTTAAATCACCTTTACAAATTACAATCTATTGCTATTCAAGTCTTACTTTCACTAATGCATCATAATCCCTAAAATTCAACTCTTACAAGTTATGGGGTTTTTTGTCTATCTAATCCTGTTTGCCTTCGAATTTTTAGAATGAGTGCTCTGCATATAAACTGTTCTCGCGCAAGTGTGCGGACATTCTATATCATCATATATGTATAACAAATATGCAGAGATATTGGTTAAAATACTGAATAAAATTAGATTCAAAGAGAATATTAATTTACCTTCAAATACGTGTTCAAATCTATCCTTTCTGTGCTTAATGCTCTTCCCAAGTAATAAATTGCGTCTTCTATAGCATTATCTTCAGCCACTAATTCAAATAATCTACAAAGGAAAGAAAAAAATTAAGATCAAAGAAAAACAAGCAAATAAGTAACTAAAATGATTCATACTGATTATAAACTATGGTTGTTCCGCATAGAACATCATCAACTGAGACCTCAGGCATGTTCTTTG